TATTTAATGTCTTATTTTTTGTTTCAGGCTGACTGAAGAAGAGAGATGTCAACAGTAACGAGAGACGTGTTGCATATGTAAAGAATCAACCTGCAATGGAAAGCCGACCGTTGTTCTACAAACGAAGGGCATTGATGGGGTAAATCGTGCAAGTCTACAGCGTGGTAGTGATTTGATAACTGTACTAGGGGGAACTAGTACAGTGGAATGTTGTCGTACATATTGCAAACCAGATAACATTGAACATGACATAGCATCTCGTCAGCAACCATCAGAATATCGATCTGATCTCCGCTCATTGCAACCGGCATTCAATATTCAAGAACATTGCCTATTCTGTAGACAGTCTGCGAAAAATGGCAAGAAACGGAGAGACATTGATGTGTTTCCAGTCAGAACACATGAGTTTCAAGCCAGAGTGCTTCAAGCTTGTCGTTCTAGGAAAGACAAGTGGTCTGATGCGGTGTATGGCAGAATAGCATTTGTGAACGATCTGCACGTAGCAGACGCAATATATCACCAGCAGTGTAGTGTCAATTTCAGGACGGGGAAGAATATTCACTATAAATTATCTGCTGACATCGCAGACACAACAAAAGGATTCAAACGTGGAAGACCCGAGACCAAGCGAGCAGCAGCATTCCTGGAAGTCGCAACATTCTTAGAAGACAATGACGAGGGACAAGCTACCATCAGTGAACTTGTTACAAAAATGACAGAAGATCTCATAGATACAGGACAGAATCCGTACAGTGCCAAATACATGAATAGGAAAATAAAGGAACATTTTGGTGACAGAGTTCTAATGACAGCACGTGGTGTGCAAAAGACTGTGTTGTGACATTGCGTGACACTACAAGTTCCATCCTGCAAGCATTTCAAGCATTCCTGCAAGCTAAAAATGCTGAAGACGAGAAACATAGCATCGTTGAAACTGCTGCAAAACTCATTGAGAGTGACGTCAAATCTATGGACATCTCACGTGATTTCTACCCAGAAATAGATGATATGGAAAGTGAAGAACGTGCTCTGAACTATATTCCAAAGTCACTACAACTTACTGTTGAGGACAATGTTTGCTGGAAAAAATATTGATGTGAAGTTTGCTTCGATTGGTCAGTGTATCATGCAAGCAATACGGCCAAGAGACATACTAGCGCCTCTAGAGATAGGCCTAGGGGTGCAAATGCACCACCATTTTGCGTCACGCTTCTTGATAGACACACTTCATGAGCATGGCTTCTTATGCTCATACACGGAGGTGCAGAGGTACGAACGGAATGCAGCAGTTACCCAAGGTATTGACATTCCTGGGTTCACATCAGAACATACTATGCAATATATTGCTGACAATGTGGAGCACAATCTAGCCACTGTTGATGGTACAGGTACCTTCCATGGAATGGGTATAATTGCTGCAGTCACGCCAGGAACACGAGCCAAGAAGCATATTCCTAAAGCAAATGTGACCGCTGCAGACATTGTTGGTCGCATCAACATTCGGTACTTCAAGATTCCTCCAGCACTACCACCTCTTACATATCTACCCCTTGTATTGTTGGAGGCAGAAGGTCCAACAGCACAGCTAGATGTCTTATGGAAGGGCTCACTACTCCTTCATTCTCCAAGACCAGCATGGGCTGGTATGATGCAGATGTTGCATCATGAGATGGTGGTGGCCTTCTGGCTGTTATTGTTGTTGGAATCAATACAGCCTCTAGTAGTGGGAAAGGTTCACTCTGGATGGTGACCTCCTTCCGCTGGGGGTCGACTGTAAGGGCATATTCCATCATGAAGTTCCAGCCCAAAATGACTGGACTGTCGATGCCTCTCATTATCCGGAAGGGATACTCCAAACTCAAAGGTGCTAGACGAACGGGTGCTGTCGCGGCTCCAAGGCAAGACAACTTGTCTCCAGACACCAAACGTATTACTGTTGGTTCTTCAGACAGCGTTCCTCTTTCCCCTGGTAAAAACAAATCCCATACATATTCGCGCATCAGTGAGACATCCGCCCCAGTGTCAAACAACAATGGTATCTCCTGATTGCCCACGTTCATCAGAACCCTTGGAATAATCTTTTGAGTCTTCTTCCTTCTTTTCTTGGCTGCAGAGCGACCCTCATCCACAGCACATACTAGTTTTCCGACTGCCAGGTACCCCAGCAGTCAGCGCTGTGATGTCCATATTTGCCGCAATTGTAGCAATGTCCGTCGAATCGGTCATTGAACGGAGCTTGCTGTTGATTGGCAAGAGGGGAACCCCGTGGTTGCAAAACTTGCACAGACTTGCCTGGTTGCACTCGTTGATCATTCAAACCTTCTCCATCTCTGACCTTGCTTTTGACCACGACCTTGGCTCGGTCCATGGCGATTTCCTCAACCGCCGCGTCCGCGGGTACGTCCATGGCCAGAGTTTGGGTTCCTCATCAGGAACTGTACTTGTTCACACAGTTTCTGGACGTCATCCCTCAGACTGGTGATTTCACCCGTTGCCACGGCAGGAGAAGCAACCCCTTCATCCCACGAGACCTGGCAGATGGCTGGTTCCTGTGCGACAGGTTGAGGGGTCATAGTCCCGCTAATTGCACCGCCTGGCGTGTTGTGTCAGGGTTTTGGGTCAGGAGATGCAGCTGAAGCTGTGCATCCCCTACCCCCTTCATGAACTGCTCCTTTGCCATCGTGTTTCGGTGTTGTTCTGGCAAATCCTAGAATGCTGCCGCCGTCTTACGAAGAACCCGTAACTCAAAGGCAGTGATTGCCTCATCCGCCTCACGACTGAGAGTCATGAACTCTTGACGCCTGATCAAGGCATGCTCATCCGGGTCCAGTCTCTCCTTCAGTGCCTGGCGTGTCTCTTCATAACTCAGCTTGGTCTCTGCTGGCAGACTGTCGTAGGTCATAAAAGCCCTACCCGCTAAATATAGGGGAAGGACAAGATGGCGTCGGGGGACTGCAGGGGCAGCATCAGGCGGTGCTATCGGCACAAATAGTTCAAATCGCTTGAACCACAAGGTAAAATCCTCGCTGGACTCGCCCGAAAATTCCTTCAGTTTTGGGTGTGCAGTGGCCATCTTTATTTAGGGTGTTACGTAACACAATCACTATAATAATTTTTGATTTTGTTTGATTGGCAGGTTAGATAATTTTGGAATCACATACGTAAACTTCCTCACGCACACACATGAAAACTGTTATCTAATAATAATAACAATATCAAGTTCTGTCTCTCGATAACACACGTATAACGTGCCTCAGGTCATCTTACCATAAGCAGACTAGCTACAGATATCAAATAGCTCCGAGCCAATCTGCGAAATGCTAGCAGTGCACACAGGTACTAGAGACTGCTCAATATATATATACGTATGTACAAGACTTACTACTGACATATAATGTACAAGACTACTGACTACTGGCATCGCCTATTCACCACTGGAAGCAGAATGTTGGAGAACCTCCCACCTACACAAGCAGCACTGTTCCAGCATGTCAAACGAGCGCTACTTCAGGCCAGCTTCTACTGGAATCGGTCTACCACAGAGCAGCAACGAATTCCCGACTTCAGTGAGTGGGGCTGGCAAAAAGATGATACGGGTGCTCGACAGCTGCTATGGACTACACTCCGTGATGCTTCAGAAGCATGAACCCTTCTGCTGCACTTCAGCTGCCTCAAGTCATGCACAGGAAGGTGCAAGTGCAATCGCGCCGGTGTCAAGTGCACGATGCTCTGCAAATGCGAGAGCGGATGTAGCAACAACGTTGACAGCAACGACTAGTGGGACTTAATGCTAAAATGTATGGGCACAGGCCATACATATATCGAGAGCACTGTTGTGCCCAGTTGAACTTACTGATTAGATAACTGGACACAAACCATGACAGTAATCACTTCTAACCAAAGATTCCATATCGGAATGCCTACCTTGCCTGTTGTATTTGTCTCTTTATACACAACTGTGTAACCTAACTTACATGTAGGAATAGATGACCAATATGGAATAGACAAATCAAGCAAATTATAATTCTTGTTGAAGCCATGTCCACCATTGTCCACCATGTTTGAGCTTCGTAGAATAAAAATTTACAAGAATATTTGATATTTAAATCATTCCTTTTATTATTTCCTTATGATAAACAGAACTGACAGACTTAATGGCTTGCGTGTATGTGCGTATGAGTGTGTGCGTGTGTGTGTTTGGTTGTGGGTGTGGGTTTGTGTGGTGTTTGTGTGTATGTGAGGGTTAACTAATGTATGTCAGTATGTTTATGTGTGCATGTTAATAATTGATAACCCTCAAATTAGTTTCATCCCAACATTACATCCCCCCAAAGATAGAAAGAGATTAGAAAATCTAAGTATACACATCACAGCATTTGCCCGTATGGCAGCCATATTGGATTTGACCATTGTAACAGCCCAAAGAAACCTCAAATCGATGTAAGAACATCATAATCAGATTCTCTGACCCCGAAAACCCCATAAATATATAAACTTTTATCATACTAGCCCTTTCCCTTTTGGAACTACACTTGATCTTTAGCTCAGATGGCGGCCATTTTGGATTTGCACAATAGGGCGGCGCAAGGGGGGCCCTTCTTGGCGCCTGGCAGAAATCGTAATAGTATGGTATAAGCTACCTCTGGACCAAATTTTGTACTTTTAGAAGAATCTGCACCAAAATCTGCACCAGCCCTGACTATGTGGCATCCACTAATGTCCATTGTATCAGATATGATACATTGCCAAAATCAAGGTAAATGTCATCAGAAAAAAATGTCAAAAATCACATTCTGATATTCCAGGCAACTAAATGCCAAAAAGTTATATTTTTACTGCAGCAACACATAGGTGAGGGCATTTTCTGCACTCAGACTACGGCCTATTTATCAGGAACATTCAATAACCGACTATCTAAGGCCTCTGTTATAGAACATGCAGCAAATACACGCCCATCTGAAACACGACCATTACATCCAACACCCACATATATGAACTTGTAGTCTGCTTCGACAAGTCCCATAACCACAATCAAAAAAATGTTTATAGTTATAATATATAGATCCAGATTTTCCCGGTGCACTCAGGGCGACATGCTTCCCGTCAATAGCTCCCATGCAATTTGCAAAATTCCATCTCTCCTGAAAGTGTTCGGCTATAGTAGTCCATTCTTCGACAGTTTGTGGCATCAACAATAAAATAACATTTACAATGAGGCCACCTTTTTTTCTGTTGGTTTACAGAATTTTTTTGTTGTTGTTGACTCAGTAGGGTAAAAAAAATGTCGTTTTGTCAGATCAAACAAGTCAAGGATATTAAAGTATTTTAAGAAAACTAAATGAAAACAAAACTTAACTTGTAATTATTTTAACTTTTATTATAAACGGTTTGTTTATAAAATGTCTTTGTTTTTTACATTTACATTTTTTTAATTCATATTTCTTAGAGAAAAGGTCGGTTTCTTGAAAATTCGGGTCGGCGGATCTGTAAACCAACAAAATAAAAAAATCTCGCCTAAAGGGTTATGGTCGGTCAGTACGATGCAGTGTGAGCCCATAAGGTGGGGAGCAAATTTCTCTGTAACTGCCCATTTCAGTGCCAATAGCTCAAGCTTAAAGGGATTCTGACATCTATAACGTATTTAACCTATTATATGACATTGTAGTTACTTTTAAACATGTTTCCTGACATTTTTAGAACATATTATGATCAAACCTGCTTTTGATGATGTTTTTGCTATTTATGGGCGCCGCCATAATTTTCCCACAACGCCCTGCGTTTTTGCTGAGTGGCACGTGTTCACTTGTTTTGCTATGGTGTTTGCTTAGGTACATGTGTGTTTCAGGCGTTTTCCTACTATTCTGTCCATACTCTTGTAATTATTATGGTGTATTGTGGTGCTGTAGGTTGCACTAGCCACTCTAAATACTTGTTAAAGTTGGAATAACTTTTCTGGCACACCAGAACAGGCTAAAACGTATCCAGGCATTTCGTTTCACGCATTGCCCAGGAGAAACAAATCTCTTGCTAGGCAATGGCTCAGAGCAATAAGAAGACCGGAAACCAACCTGCCAAAGGCAATCTTCTTATGTTCTAATCATTTCACTGAAGACTGTTTTGATAAGGTACGTTATTCAGAGTGACAATATCTATGACATTTTCTATGCCTATCTCTAACAGTCACAGCTAGCAATAGATAATCAATGATAGGTAGGCTTACACAGTGCCACTGTAAGTATCAGTGAGTAACTTTAAAGTTAGAGAAAGAGTCACCAATCGCTCACACACACACACACACACACACACACACACACAAACACGTGCGCGCGCGCAAGCACGTGCGAGCGCGCACTTCACACACACGCATGCATGCTAATTTCAATTGAGGCATGCTTAATTAAATAAATTAAGCTGTGAATATTTCTAATTGGGAAAAGCTTTTGAAACCTTTTCAATTATTTTTACAGTCCACAAGTGCCGCGGAGCGACAGCGCTCATCTCACGTCTACTGCGGTGACTCTGTGGTGGAGGGGTGGGATTCTAGTAAACCATGTTAGTCCCAAATGTGTTCACATACGCGCCGAAACAGTGGAAGGCACAAGGATGGTATCAGGAACCTTCTCAAAAGAATGTTCGTTGGGATCGTTATGAAAGTTGCCACGAGATGGCGCGTACGTTTAAGTGTTTTAATATTAAAGATGGAAGCTCCCATCGTACTTAGTAGCAACAACTATTTGCAAGACAGAATAGGTAAGCACTCATCCATTTACCTACGCAAGCCTACAGGCTGAAATAGAGAGCTGCCACATGTAACTAATTAACGCAGGCAAACACTACACAGTACCAGGGAAAAAAATATAATTTATTTTTCGGGGGCTACTTTTCAAGCTCGAGTGCATGAAAATAGCACTCTAAAATTTGGTTTGCATTAAACTCTATGCAAATTTCCGGGGGCTCTTTTTGGCATTTCCGGGGCTCTTTTTGCCATTTCGGGGGCTAAATCGCCCCGAGCCCCCGTGTATTTTATTCACTGCACAGTACTATCACCACCACATGCACGGGCAGTGGCCACTGGCAGTGGCATAAGTTGCATGTAACATACTTACAGTACAGAATGCCATAGAAATTATACGATTTAAGGAGCATAAACCTTCTTCAACCAAATTTAGCTTTTGAAATTTTACTGTGACATTGTAGCCTTATACATCCAAGCATGTATAGATTCTACTAGCAAACCCGGCAGTCAAATTCTTTCTAACAGTAAACAAATCCATGTTTAACCCTCCTCTTGAGGGTCAAAGGGTTATCAGACACTTACTCTTCGCATGTCAGCGGAAATTACATTTCATGGTCTTTTAAAGCCATAAAAATGGTAGGTCACCGCTGAAACAAAAATGTTTTGCAATTGCTCCGTCAGACCATGTCCTCAGAAGAATAGGACAGAATATTTCATGAACAGCTATTGCAGGGGCAAGAGAAACAAGGACTTCGCCTCGGGAACAAACTGAGAGCTTCACACATACAATGGCACAGGCAAAAAAATGAAAGTTAATCTAGCGGCCCAGACAATTAGCTCAAGCGTTGCAGACGCAATCGAGTTTTGTGCGAAAGACTTGAAGCTTCCCCGGTTTAGAGGGTCATATGCTACAGTGGAATTCATAAAAATTATCGATCAACTTTTCGATTGAATGAAAATTAAAAAGATTGAAGCACCTCTGAAAAAGGAAAATGAATCTGAATGGCGGGACTTCTTACAACAAACATACACCTACTTGTCTCGACTAACACACAGCAATGGGGAGCCAATGCATTGATCACGGAAGAAGACGCCTTTCATTGGGTTCATGGTTGGCATTCGTAGTATGCAAGGACTGTTTGACTCGCTCGTGAAATCTGAAGCTCCTAAATTGAAGTATCTCCTGACTTACAAGCTGTCTCAAGACCATATAGAGCTCTTCTTTTGTGCGGTCAGATCTGCTAATGGAAGCAACAACTAGAAACGAGCAGTTGTCGCCAACTACATGTATCCCCCGTGATCTAGTATCAATGGAATATCTCTGCAAGGACGTAGAAGGCAGGTAAAGTTAAATAAGTCACAAAGACAAAGGTTTGTTAGACAACTGGTCTGCCTCAGATGTGCGAGTATATGGAATCTGGTTACCCTAGGAAGCCGAAGAGGAAATGTAAGTCGACGTCAAGGTCAAACTAAGGTCAAGGGGAGTGGTGGTTTTGGTATGCGACAGACCCTCTCCCCAAGACAACGGCCCCCAGTGTATTAAGTTTGTATTGTTATGTTTAACCTCATTTTTCTTATTTTTCAGGAATGTGAAATGGATATCAGGAGGTTCTTAAAAAACGTAAGTCTGATGACTCTGACAACAATCAAGACACCCCGGGTACATCAGAGATGCATGCTGATCCAGCAGAGCAGCGCAGAGGAGGACATGACGAGCAGTTACTCACAGCAACCAATCAGATGCCACCCCAAACACCACTTGCAAAAGTGGCCAATGACTTGCCTCATCATCTGGACATTGGATCATATGTCAAAACCACAGAACATTTTACCAATGATCGAAGATATGACCTCCTGATGAACACATACGTCCCACCAACTGATTACAGCTATCAGAACGATTCACAGGCCTCCCGCTGTTTCCGCCACACGTGGATAAACCAATATTCTCCATGTCTGGCCTACTCAAGTCACTTGAAACGTGCTCTGTGCAAATACGGTGTGCTGTTTCCTCAACCAGTGCACCGAGGTCTAATGGGTGCGTTCATCGTCCTTTTGTTCAACGACTTCGCATTCAACTTGACTTCAAAAACAAAGACATCAATGAGTGCGCGAGGAAGCACATGTTTTCCTTCAGGCACAAAGGCGCACTGCAAGATGCCAACAATTTCCTCACCACCGTGCAAAGGCCAGAGTTGACCATCGTGAACCAGATGGACCGAGCAGTCAACAAAGCAGTCACTCAAAACCGAGAGAAACTGTTCCGTATCCTATCCAGCATTCTGTTCTGTTGCTGCCGTGACATTGCATTGAGGGGAAAGGAGAGTATATCGGGAACAG